TGTTGAGCTTAATTTGGGCCCCTTTACTCCCCTTTCCTACTAGTAACAAAATTGGTGAAATTTCTTATTTTGTTCTGATTCGATGATGTAAATCATTTTTTGCTTGAAAAATATGTGCAAAGTGTTAAAAATTTCAAGTTGATTTAAATTTAATTATCAGGCAATAAAATGTCAAATTTTGAGTAAAACTAAATAAAAAATTGTACTTATGATGATTTTAAAGGCGGAATTATAAAATGGTTTTTAAATAATACTATTTTAACCTCATAATCAATGAAACTTTCAAATCAATTGCATTTGAGACTATGGAATCAAAATCAGTCTTTAGAGCAAAAATTGTTAAATGGAGTTTTAATACGATGGTTGCTTTATTGCTTCAAATGTTACACATACACAAGTTGTTCTCATTACAACCCTCCACTACAGCCTCCGTGGTCAATTGAGGCTATCACAACTCACGATCACAGCTCACTGCTATGACCTATGTGACTAACTATGACCCACATGGCTCATATGCAGCTCCCAACTTTGACCTATACAGCTCACTACTATTGCAACTTCCATGTATAGTTTTGGTGTTCAATCCACACTATTATAACTCTCCACTATGACTTTTGTGGCCAACTGATGCCCATGAAGCTACCAACAATGACCTATATGGAGAACTACTACTACGACTTTTAACTAAGGCCTTTATGGCAAGGTGACACAATTACAACCACTAGTAACTTTATTTTTGTAGCCCATGTACCATTATTAAAGCTCAACTAATGTTGTACTTTTGTAATTTCATCTTTTCTAATTCAGACGAAGAGTGAACCTATATACTCACAATTCCATAGTGGATTACTTGGACGAAGAGAGTAAAATTTATTATATTTTATTACGTAATTTGAAATTGAATTGCTAAAGAGGGTTAAAATAAGTAAAGTAGAATTAAAGATTTGTTAGATGGAGAGAGACAACAGAATAAATCGCATCATAGTGGGATTTAGTAAATCCGGATCTACTTCATGGAACAAATGGATCACGAGAAAAAAAGACGGAATGCAAGAAAGTTTGATTTAACTAAGCATTGAAGTTACTTTTCATTTATATAGATTTTGGTGAGATTTAAGTTAAATTCATGGCTAAATACTCTTAATAGTGTGCTACCAAACACCACCTATAAATGAATGAAGAGTGTGCTAGATTTGTAAATAGCATTATTTCGGGTGCTATGCATGTAAATGCCCCTCAAACATAAGATTTGTGTGCTTGGTGTGCAAATGTAACATTAAAAATTGGGTGTTATATGCGAAAAATCCTTGTAGACGAGCCCTAAGCATTTAGCAGTCATTTACATCATATAAAACATAGAAAACCAAATCAAAATTTTGAATTTCTCCAAAACACAAAAATTCAAAATACGAAAAAACTAACAGTTCAAATTAAATGAAAACATAAAGAAAAATTGAAATTGAGATTACCTTTGATTTGACTATAAGAACTTGAGAAATCGTTGACTCTACGGAAAATGCGATCGAAGGGGGTTTGGTGGCGTTCCAATGTCCGAATGAGAAAATGAGAAATTTTGCTTTGATTTAGCTTAAAAGCAGTTTTCTGATGGCTTCCAACAGTTGTGCGTGTCAGTCAAACAACTTGAGTCCATCTTTTTATAATTTTGTTGTTAACCAACGATCTAATTTGTTGGTGACTAATTAGAGACCGCCGTAAAATCTAGAATTAATTTGTAGGATATCTGTAGGTTAAATATGTAGTTGATAAGCCGTCGAAAATTAATTCAAAATTTCTGTCGCTTAGCAAACCATCTCTTTTTCTGCCATTTCTAACAGGTTTTTTTTTTCATAAGCTTCATTTTGATGCCAATGCAGATGCATGGCATTTACAACAATACTAATGCTTGTCATTGCCAATGAAGTGGATGCACACCACATTCAACAATCTAAATGGCTGCAAATACTAATAACAACAAAATTTCTTATTGCCAACAAAGTGGGGGTCTAATGTATCCAACATTGTCAATTCAAATCAATGCAAAAAATATCGACACTCACTATCAAAATTAATGTTGATGGTTGTTACTACAAACAAGATCATCTCTGTCGAAAAAGTTTCAACCCTAGCATTGACGTGTGCTATAAGGGTCTAATGTATCCAACATTGTCAATTCAATCCAATGCAAAAAAGACCGACACCCACTATCGAAATTAATGTTGATGGTTGTTACAACAAACAAGATCATCTCTGTCAAAAAGTTTCAACCCTAGCATTGACGTGTGCTATAATTTCTAACATCGACATTAACGTCAATACCTAGTTTCATCAACATCAACGCCTACTTACTCCAATATAGTTTCCAAACATTATTAATACTAATGTTGATGCAGATTGATGCCAATATGTTCATCACCTACTATCACCTATGATGTCAATGTCAGCAACATCAATGCCCATTGTCTTTATTAACAACAACTTTCATTGCCTTAAACATTGACACCAACCATCGTCAATAATTCAATGTTTGTCATTAACACAAATACTGACGCAAATTGCCCACGCAAATGTACATACATGCAGTCTCTACCAAAATTTGATTCTCTCCTTGTTCACTAATCTCTAAGTTGTATAGAGGGCATTCTTACTAACCTAAGATTCATACTAGTGAATATACATCATTTGGGTGTCATGTCATGTCTCTCATAAATTTCCCTCAGTGTTGAATTTTCATAGTGTTTATAATAATAAATTTTCTTTCTACTATTGCAAATATTTTATTCAATAGGAATAATGAATGATAAATACTATAATGTGAAACTCCAATTTAAGACCTAGAGGCATTGCCATCTTCAATCAGTGGGACATTACGGAATGACATATAAGGCCGATCATTAAGTTCAAAAATATCATCAAGATGCTAGATTTTATTAGTAATATTTGGGAGCTATGTATGTAATTATCTAAAATATTTATTAAAAGATAAAATTTATTATAAATAAAATGATATAGATTGTCTTATTATTGATGTTCAATTTATGTTCTTGACTTGATAAAATTTCAATATGTTTTCACAGCCGTTAAACATGGGATTGTTTATATTGGCTTCATATCTATTGATGGGGCTGTCAAAAAAGCTTGTCATTCGCTGACGACTCGTGCTCAGCTCATTAATAGCTCGTATTTGATTTGTTCATTAAGCAAGCGAGGCAAACACAAATTATTTTTTTGAACTCGATTTATAAACGAGCAGAATAAGAAAAAATGTTTGTTCATTTGTTTTCGACTCATTTTGGCTAAAAATAACTAAATAGTTAAATAAAAATATATTTTACATCATTTTTATACTAATTGTTTATATGTATTAAAACATGCTAAATATTATTTGTTTTAAAAGTTTTTTTTTATTTTGGTAATTTTGATATTTATAAAAATTATTAGTCTAGTCGATTTTGATAATTTTGATATTTATAAAAATTATTAGTCTAGTCGTTAGGACAAAATATATAAATATGTATGATTTGTATGATATGTATGTAAACGTTCATAATGGTTACATATTATCCTAACAATCTGATAACCTACAGATTATCAGAATAAGCTGGTTTATTAATTGAGAGAGCTTATTCAGAACAATTTATTTGCAATTATTTCTGGATAAATGATCACTCTGCCTCTATTTAATGATGTTGTTTGCAACAGAACTATATGGGCAAAATATTAGATAAAACAGAAGCCGCAAATCATTAAAGATCAGATCAAAACGCAGCCTAAATTAGCTAACTTCCTCAACTTCCGCTCAAGTACATATTCAAATAGATTGGATTTGAGTGCTACATATGTAAAAATCCCATTAAATTAAAAAAAAAATTTAATTTACTTTTGCCTTCAGAAACGATGGGAGGGAATGGAGGGAGTCCAGGACCTGCACCTTCGGAGAGACATTTTCTTAGTCCCACATGTTGTGAGAAACCTATTTATATGCCAATGATGAGCCTTTCTGCTAAAAAAAAATATTTATGCGTTAGAAACTTAAATATTTGAACCTATGCCCAATAAAAATAATTATTTTTTATTAATAAAAATTTAATTGATTATTTTTAAGTCGAAGACGAACTTAATTCGAATAAATCAATTTGAATATGAGTAAAAAAACGAAAGATAACTTGTTGTTATAGAGAGCTATTTCGAGCACTAGCTTATTTTCGTACATAAATAATTTTAAATGACAAATCAAAGCTCAACTCGCTCATATTTGGCTTGTTTACACTCCTGACTATTGGAGAAAATATTACATCAGGAGTCCTAATATAGCTTTATTGTAGTGTTTAGATATTATTGATAGTATTATAGTGTCATTTTATTAAAATAACACTACAATACTATCAAATAACACCGAGTAAAAAAAAAACCAAGTTGTTAAAGAGAGCTAGTTAGAACACTATTTATTTCGTATATAAATAATTTTAAATGATGAATAAAAGCTCAACTCGCTCATATTCGGCTTGTTTACCCCCCTAACTATTGGAAAAATATATTACATCAAGAGTCCTGATATAGTTTCATTGTTGTGTTTAGGTGTTATTGATAGTATTGTTGTGTTATTTTACTAAAATAGCACTACAATACTACCTAATAACACTTCCAATGATATCATCCGCACCTAATTTGGATCTCCTGTGTAATAAATTTTCGAATTATTGACCCCACTGCTTCAGGAAAAATTATTATATTAAGACACCTGACGTAAATTTGCATCGAAAATATCACGTGATAACTCGAGTCCGAAACGTATGTGTCAGTTGTCTTGATACAACTATTGACCCCACTGCTTCAGCGACCCAATTTACACACTGTAGCTGGCGTATTAAGACACCTGATGTAAATTTGCATCGAAAATGTCACGTGATAACTCGAGTCCGAAACGTACGTGTCAGTTGTCTTGATACAACTATTGACCCCGCTGCTTCAGCGACCCAATTTACACACTGTAGCTGGCTGTGTTTAATAATTCAGTTGGCCGTCTCTTTTCTCTGTCTTTCTCGCGTAGAGCTGCGGATTTGAGTATAAATGCAAGCAAACTCCTCCCTCTCCTCTCTCTCCATCTCTATCTATCTCTCTTTCTGAAATTGGAGCTCTGCTGTTCCAAAGAACGAGGTTGGACTGGTAGCAGAGCTTCAAATCCGAGAAAACTTGATTTTTCTTTTTTTAACGCCCGAGTTGCTTTAAATGAACAGCTATAGCTTTTGATGGAGTACAGAGAAATGAAAGGAATCAAAAGATGCCATAACTTTTCTTTTCTATGCTTTCCCTTTAAGTTCTGCAGCTGTGTGCTCCAAGCCTTGGTCCTCTGACCGAATAAAGCAGCAGGTTATTACCTGACAATGGCTTAGCTCTGTCCCTGAGATCTCTGAAACCAATGCATGGCTCCTTTTCGAGCTCTGTTTGCATCAAGCTGGGGTTTTGCTCCTCTGCAATGGTAAGCAATAAGAGTTTATGATAAACAAGCTTTTCAAATCATGTTCAAATGTTGATATTTGGATAGAAACTTTATGATATGTACAAAGTTTGCTCCTTTTTGATAAGAAATGACACTTCAAGTTGTTTAAGATTTCACAATGAACTCATGAGCTCAACACTTTGCTGAACATTGATTTCTTTTTTGCTTTTGGCGAAGAAAAAAGATGAATTTTGGTAAGAAGCAAAAGTTGGGAGTAGATAACAGGAGTGTAGAATCTTTGAACTGTCACACTTCATGCTTAGCTAATGCAGATTGGCATCAGATTAGTTCATCTCTATGCAACTGGAACCAGCCATCTGATGCAAAAAGTTTAAGCTTTTTAGAGGCGACAAATGCTTCTTCTTGCGCCATTGAAAAACCTGAGCCTTTGAACTGGAACCTGTCAGATTCAGCAGAAAAGAGTGAAATTTTCTTGACCGCGGGATCGGCAATGCTTCCACTTAGTCTCTCTCACTTCTCTTCTGATGTGGGATTCATTGAGAGAGCTGAAGATGCTCAAAATCTGATGAATGATGCAGGAAAGATTGAAGATTTGAAAGATAAATCTAAGCTGAATGATCACAGCTCCAATAGTGGGCGTTTAATGAAGGATCAATCAGAACTAGAGTCACCTGAATCTAAGAAAAGGAAGAGGAACAATCAGGTATAAATTATTTAGTTTCATAATTTGATTGGATATAGGTAGAAACCAGCACAGACTTCAATCCTTAGAATGAGAGAAATAAAACCAATATTCATTGCTCATAAACAAGTTTGATGTTATCTAATGACAGGAAATGGGGTTAAATAAAACACAAGATACTGCTCAATTTCCATCTGATGCTGCTAACGATGTTGCTGAAAGTAAACAGAAACCTGAGAAGAACAGCTCAACAATGGCGACTGTGAAGCCTTCAGGGAAGAATTCAAAAGTGACAGGAGAAGCTCACAAGGAAGAATATATCCATGTGAGAGCTCGTAGAGGGCAAGCTACTAATAGCCACAGCCTTGCTGAAAGAGTAAGGCTGATTTTCATATGAAGTGGCTTGATTTCTACAATGGTGCAAAACAGCAGACATGAATGAATAGGATCTCATTTGGCTCGATTCATTAACTATGAATTAAGTACAGACAAGCTCAAATTCATTAACAAGATGAAATATCTTTTCTACGTTCATCTCATTTATTATAGTATTAGATGAACTAGAATTACATGAGAATACATGAGAAAAATGTGTTTTCATAATGTTTTCTCTTAAGAATCAGTGATTTTGAAAAATGTGCTGTCAAAGATTTTACATTATATTTGAGGATTATTACTAGTAAAATAAACCAAGAAAAATGAACTTCATACATTCATATATGTAACTAAATAATTATATATGTTTATATCTAATAAGGTGAATTTTGTTCGTGTTAAGTTCTCGTTTGTGTTCAATTTCGGTTTGTTTAATTTTAATAACCCAACTGAACACGAGGAATTACCGAGATGAAAACGAGTTGTTTGCAAACATGAAGCTTTGTTTACTCTGCTAGTTCCATTGTAGCTCCAAGGAAACTAAAAGTTTTAGTGTTTCTGAGCCGATAACTCTTTGGAGCAGGTACGAAGAGAGAAGATTAGTGAAAGGATGAAGTTTCTTCAAGATCTTGTTCCAGGTTGCAGCAAAGTAAGCTTTACTTCTAATGCTACAATTCTTCTAGCTGCTTCCTAATGACTGTGTAGCTGCATCTTTTTAAATATTTATAGACTTTCTTTTTTTTAAGATCACAGGAAAGGCTGTTATGCTTGATGAGATAATCAACTATGTACAATCACTCCAACGACAAGTCGAGGTAATATGATCTCATAAAACTATATAATTTTAAGTTTCCTTGTAAAGTTGAATGTGATCACATAGTTTTCTTCTACTAGTTTTTGTCGATGAAGCTTGCAGTTGTGAATCCAAGGTTGGACTTCAGCACAGAAGTCTCTAAAGATGTAAGATTTAAATTGTACTGATCATAAGTTAAGGCAAAAAATAAATAAATAAATAAAAACAATCCAAATCAATTTGATCAGTGCTTTTCTTTCATAATTGCAGTTGTTTCAAACCAGGGGTGCTTCTTTATCTGGCCTTGGATTTTCACATGATTCGATTAGTCAACAGTTAAATTCAATTCATCAAGATTTGATTGAAGTTGGGATGACTGAAGTTATGAATCCAACTGATTTATTTAGAAGAGAAATAAAGGTTCAATTGCCTCCAATCAGTGCTTACAAAGAAGCTGCGCAGCAGGTATAGCTAATGTTAATATGTAGATATAGATATAGATATATATATATATATATCATATAATGGATTATTAGCTAATATTTAATAAAGTTGAGGGAGGAGGGGTAAGCGGTGATGCATAATTCTGTAATTCTGTGAATTTGTTTTTCTTGAGATTTAATTGTAATTTCTAGAAGAGAAGTGTTAATACATGATTTATTTATTTTTTAATAATTATCATAGATGTTTTTTGTTTTTTTACTATTTTTCTTATAATTTATCATTATATATATATATATATATTATAATTCAAATATTTATACTTATTCTATAAAATAGAAAAAGTATTATAATTCAGGATGTAAATGAACCGAGTATTTAGAATTCAATTTTGTTTGGATGCTTTAATGGGGCTTATGTCAAGTTTTAACATGAGCCTAGCTTAAAAAATTATGCTGTATTAAACAAGCTTAATATAAAAAATTAGTAAGCAAATGCAATAATTGGTCTCCCTGCATTCAGAGCTGGACAAAGAATCTTTAGTGGGGATCAAACTCTACAAACCAAACTGAGCTAATAACTTTTGAATTCATTTTCATTTTAGGTGTAGAATAACCATTTCAGTGAAAGGGCATTCATTGATGTTAAAAGCTTTTATTGGATGTGAAATTTGAGTTGTAGCCATCTTTGCTAAGAGGCAGAGTGTTGGCCTTCTTTCTAAAGCATCTCCCATTACAGCAGATAGGATTTTGTATTGATGTAAAAGGAAGTAGGTTTGTGTTTTTTTCAAAAATAAAGCTGAAAGAGACAAGGAATTCGTATGAACTATCAAAGATACTTTTTTCTGCATCAAAATGAACTCTTACCAAACAAGTAAACTTTGTTATTTTTGAATGTGAAATAACTTTATAGAACATTTGACTGAAACAAACAAAAAGTCAGGGGCTTTTTGGATTTTTTCCTAACAATTTGCTTTAGAAAAGCTGTTTTTTGAAAAATATAATAGCAATCATGGCACATATAACAACTTGTACAATTTGTAACAACAAAATTAAAAAATATATGAGTTATATGCAACAAAGTAAAATATTAACGTACAATACTAATTTTGCCTTTCTACTATATCTATAGATGCCTAATGCATGGGATGATGATCTCCAAAAAATTGTTCATATGACATATGGCAACAATCCTCCTCTCAAAACCCAAGATTCGAACGGCACGCCTCGCAACGGTTTCTGCTTGTAAACAAAACGAAGGAATTTCTTGTGCTATGCTATCATCAATGTCGGTCCCACTCATGGCCTTGTCTGTCAAAGCCAAATTTTATTGAATATTTCAAAAGTTAATGTAGGAGAATAAGTCTCCCTTGGCATAAAATATTAAATTCAGAGCTAATTCTGTCAGTTTGCTTCTAGTTTAGTAGATTAGTGGCAGCTTGGCTATATGAAACAGCTCAATTGTTCACTGTATATCTGATATCTATCAGTGTTGGATCTTGTAGAAATTTGTTGGAAGCCTTTTTATCTTACATACTTCAGCTCCTTTTCTTTTTCCAGCCAGGATGAACAATTGAGATTCTTCACTTTATTTCTAATCAATATGTTGCTGATCAATCTAATGATACTGAAATGGTGAAGAAAACAGCTTTGGCAGCTCATACATTTACACAGTAATAAATGTGAGTTTAAATAACATAAAAATATAAGTTCTATAAAGAACTTATGGGTCCATGGTGATGACACAATGAAATATAATTGCTGCTAAACGTTATGAGATGTTTTATCTATATGAAAAGTTATAAGAAAATGATCAGTAAGATGGTGGAAAGGACCATCATTGACTGCTGCAAGGTGTCCAAAGGCCAGCTGCCATTCAATGTACAGTCTAGTTTTGTTAATTAATATTATTATTATTATTGCTTCCCGCATTTCTACTTGTTTCTGTGACTTGGCTATGATGGAAATCTTTAAAACATAGGCAACAGATGGTTTTTGAATTTAATATATATATAAACAATTTTGATGAGATCTATAAAGGTTGTTTATGTTCAGTAAAAATTCAACAAGAACACAGTTTTAAATCATGTAAGCCAGAGAATGGGACAGATTTAGGAGCTAATAACAGCTGTGAATTGTTTTTAGTTCTCTTTGGTTTTTGTCGTATGCTGACAAATTTCTTTTTTATTTTATTTTAAAATGACTTTGATACAAAGTTGGAGTGCGACGTGAACGGTATCAACTAAACAAAACAATTCATACACAAAGAGATATATATATATATTCAAAGGAATGGTCGGAGTCGATTATACGAGCTCCGGTCATTCCTCATGCGCATATATGGGGGGCTATTAGTACATGGCGCGTGAAAAATCTATATTTGGGTTTTTGCAAAATACTGATTTCCTTTTTAAATTATATATATATATATATATGCAAAATACTGATTTCCTTTTTAAATTATATATATATATATATATGCAAAATACTGATTTCCTTTTTAAATTATCTTCGATTCCCTTCGAGTGTAGGGGTGATACTTGAATTATAGGTACATGAGAAATGGTCGGGGCTCGTATCATAGCCTCTTGCCATTTCTTTGAAAACATTATTAACCAGAGATGGTAGAGAGGATGTCCCAAGCAAAGTCGTCAAAATCTTGTGGCCGCTTGTTTTGTGCCTGTAGGCCCCATTCGCCGTCACTACCGTTGGTCGTCATTCATGTTGGTTGGGTTTGATGTCATCGTTGTTGTTGTTGAGTTGCCAATTTGTTACCTATTATGTTGCCTTGTTATCCAAATAATTTTTCGTCTTATATCATATGGATGAACTAAGAGATGAGAAATCGAAGGACTAGGGCAAACAATAATAGGAACAAACAAAAGAAGCCTTCATAAAGCTACATGTTTGCATTGATAATTTTAAAGCATATGTTCGGAATGCTTTAAAGGCATAAGTATGAAAGAGACTCTACGAAAGCTAATAACCAGAGAAATCAAGTTAATGTACCTGTTCTAGACTTTGCATTCTTCTATAAGGGCAAGCCCGATATCTAATTGCATCTTAAGTAGTGAAGACTGCTTAAGAAAACTCGATTATAGTAATAATTTGTTCTCAGAAAAATCAAACGTCGTTGTCAAGGAGAGGAATGTTAAAGTCCTATCATAAAGGTAGCAAATTTTTAAGGATTTTGAACTATCCTAAGGTTTCATAGTGTCGTTGATGGTATAGTTAAGGTTCATCCTTTTACTTCAAGTTTGGAATGTTCGTCTCTGCAAAACAGAGTAAGTACATCCTAATAACATGTAAATTAAATCTAGAACGAGACCTTACTTCATTTTCTTCAGCTGCCTTGGTTCTTGTCTTCAATAGTCTTGCAAAGCATAGTTAGCATGGAATGTTTGTTCATTAAATTAGCTTATTTTTATTTTTAGGTGACCTAGTCAAGATGTCTATGGCTCTCCCGTTTCAGGGCCATTAGGTGTGTTGGTTTACTTAATCTGAAAGGTGGTCAAATCTACTATGACCAGAAGATTTTTGTCTGCAACCACAGATTATATCATTCAAAAGATCTTTATAAACCTGGATAGCAGGGTTCAAGTTATGTTTGGTGATCTTTGTTTATTAAGGTTTCATTTTAGTTTCAATATCTTTTTTAGATTTTAGGAGTTAATAAATTTTAGATTGCTTAGGACTTCTTAGTAGATTAAATTTTAATTTTTGTCATTTATTTTTGTTTGGGATGACCCGGTCAAGATCTCATGGTTCTGTCATCTTGGGGTCATTGGGGTTTGCGGTTTGATTAGTTATAAGTGACTGAAAGATATTTTGTAATCAGTCATGTGTTGCCTCCTCCAAAATACATTCTCAAACCTTGTTTAATTTTGTGGTTCAAGTTTAAATTTTAATGTCTTTTAAGGTAAATTTTATGTCATTTCATCTTGGTTGGTTTCGTACTTTAGCCCAAATCATTCTTGACTGAGGTTAATTGTGCTTGTATTCTCAAACGTGAAGCAAAAAGCCCTCCTTAACTTTCAATCACCTTAGTCTAGGTTGATTTTAAATTAGTTCAAGTTAGGCTGAACTGATTTGCAATAAGTCTCTGGATAATCGAGTTAACCTGAGTCACACTAGTTTTACCTCAGATTATCTTCATAGTATTGACTCAGTTTAACTTAGTTTAATTAGGATCAAAGTAGTCTTACTTAGCTTAAATTGGCTTGAAATAAAACAAGTTAAACTAGGTTTGGTTAACTTAGGAGCAAGCTAGGTTAAACTGTGTTGATTAATGTAATACCCCTAGGTGGATTCAAATTTAAGATAAATTAGGCTTGGGTGAAGCCTAAATTAATTTAGACTTGAATATTCCTTTTAAGTCTAAGTTGAGTTAGGCTTAAATCGATTCCTAATTAAACTGGTTTAATTCAAGCTTTAAGTCGAGTCTCAAATTGAGTTAGTTGAAGTTAAGTCTGATTAATTCGAGGAGAAAATTATCTTGGTTTAACCTATATTAGGTCAGATTATCCGAGCCCAAGTTGAGTCAGGTTAATCCGATGGTTTGAGGTTAACCTGAGTTAGGTTGGATTAACCCTGTTGTTTAATTAAATTGGGTTAATCTGAGTTAGGTCAGGTTGCCTGGGTAGTTCAATTAAATTGGGTTAACCCAAGTTAGGTCAGGTTGACTCGGTGATTCAGTTGAATTGTGTTTACCTGAGTTAGGTTGGGTTAACCTAGTTATTTAATTGATTTAAGTTAATATTAGGTTAACCCGAGCTAGGTCGGGTTGACCCGGTGGTTCAGTTGAATTGGGTTAACATGAACTACGTCGGGTTGGCCCTATGATTCTGTTTGAGTTAGGTCGGTTTGACCTGGTGATTTAATTGATTTGGATTAACCCAAGTTAGGTTTGGTTGACCCAGTGGTTCAATTGAATTGGGTTAACTCGAGTTAGGTTGGGTTGACTCGGTGATTCAGTTGATTTGAGTTAACCCGAGTTAGGTCAAGTTGACCTGATGGTTTTGTTGAATTGTGTTAACCCGAGTTAGGTTAGGTTGACCTGATGGTTGGATTAACCCAAGTTTGGTTGGGCTCACCTAGTGATTCTGTTGAATTGGGTTAACCCGTGTTAGATCGGGTTGACCTAGTGATTCAGTTGATTTTGGTAGTTTAGTTGAATTAGGTTAACCTGCGTTTGGTCGAGTTGACAAGATGGTTGGGTTAACTTGAGTTAGGTTGGGTTGACCCGATGATTCATTTGATTTGGGTTTAACCCGCGTTATGGGTTGACTCGATGGTTTAATTGAATTGGGTTAACCTGAATTAGGCTAGATTGATCTGATCTTTCAGTTGAATTGAATAAGTCTATATTAGACTATACCTAGTAGAGATTCAATTAAATTAGTTATATGTGAGACCTGGTTAGGTCTAGGTTAAACCTAAAGGGATTTATTTTGAACTAAGTCTAAGTTAGATTAGACTTAGGTTTTAGGTTCAATGTAAATTGAACCTAAAAAGATGGCTAAGTTTAATGTAGGTTAGACTTAGGGTTTAGGTTCAATGTAGGTTGAACCTAAATCTAAAAAGGTTAGTTAAGTCTAATGTAAGTTAAAATTAGGGTTTAGGTTTAATGTTGGTTGAACCTAACGAGATTGACTAAGTCTAATGTATGTGTAAACTTAGGGTCTAGGTTAGGTTGGTTAAATCTAATGTAAGTTAAACCTAGGGTTTAGGTTCAATCTTGTTTGAACCTAAAAAGGTTGACTAAGTCTAATGTAAGTTTAGACTTAGGTACGGTTGGTTAAGTCTAATGTAAGTTTTAGGTAAAAATTGGTCATTTTAATTTTAGGGAAAGCCCCTGATTTTAGATATACCAGAAAATGTTCCCAATGGTGGGAAGAATTATTCCTGAAAATTTCATATTTTTTGAGTTTATATTTAATTTTCAATATGTACAATACTTTCTGGAGTATTTAATTAATTAAAAATTAAATATAATTCAGTTATTTTTAATTTTATTTCTTTTATTTTCTCCTCAGCTCACTGAGTTCAGAGATATTTTTATTTTATTTTTTGTGATTTTTCTATACAAAGTTATGTATTTTTTAAGTTACGTTAAATTATTTGGCTTTAATTAAATATGAAAAAATGGATTTTCCTACTTAACCCGGTCAGCGTCGCCCCATCCTTGTGGAGTCAGTTTCTCTTGTTTGCTTTCTGCACATGTTTTTCTTAGTTGGTTTAAGTCTCTTGAATTCTCATTTCATGAAATATTTATGTAAAGCAATACATTTTTTTTTACACATTTAACACCTAAACTTTAATTTTTACATTATGCAAGTCTTTCATATCTTTTCATGCATAGGTAAAGTGGATATATGTAATTAAAGTTTAGGTATTAGATATAAATATGTAGTAATGGGTGGTATGTAAGTAAATGCCACTAATTAATTTTAAAATTTTAATATAAATTTATA